TCAGTCAAACCGCAGGGCGAGGAGGGGCTTCCGGGACGCGCACATCCGGGTCCCGGCGCTCGCGCATGCGCACCCGCCCTGAACATGGCTGCTGCCGGCCGCCGGCAGTGAGTCTCGTCGCGCCCATCGACCTCTCGGTGCTTCGGTTTCCCCACAGCCTGAAGGACGGCGCGAGGGGCGGGAGTCCGCCGGGTCCTGGTGGGGCGGTGAGCGGCGCGTCCGCGGGTAGGTTTCGCGCGCGTCGTGGGCGCGTCGGGCCTGCCGGGCGGGGGTCTAGCCCGGGGCGCGGCTGTCCGTGCGGGTGTGGACGCCCCCGGCGGCGAAGCTGCCCGTGGGCCGGCGTGGGCGCTACCTGAGCGTGGGGCCTCCCGGAGCTGGTGTGGACGCCCCTGCTCTTCCCTTCGCGGCCCCGTGGGTTCCGCGCTCTCACCTCGAGCCCGCCTTCCACCGTGGCCGTCTTGCTGGGGGCCCGTTGGGCGTCCTGGCCCGGCCGCTGGGGCCTCCCCTGGGTCTGCCTGTTTGCTGCTGTCGGCTGGGAGGGATCTTCGTAGGTGTCCGCTGGTCTCTGACCGGACGGGCGACGTTGCCCTAGGGCTGTGCCCTTTTCCACCGAGTCCCGCCGGTGTCAGGTCGCCTGTTCTTTTTCCATCTGATATCTGCAAAATCACAGTTTGCTGCAGTTTCGGTGAGGACCGCGTTTTTCTGTTTAGTGGCCGTTTCACTGTCTTCCTTGGTTTAATTGTTTATTTCCTTTGGCCCTTTCTCTCCCCCTCCCCCGACATTTTATAATAAAAAGTGTTGTACCTATAGAAAAGCTGAAAGGCTTGTGTGGTAACAACCCGTTAACGTCTCCTAGACTTGCTGTATCCCGGATTTTTGCTTTTGTCCATCCTTTTAGCCATCCATTAATCCAGCTTTGTTTGGATACTTTTCAAAGTAAATTGCAGATATCACTATACTTCCCCTTCAAACACCTCACTGTGCTCAACGTGAATTAGACTTCAGTATTACTTTTTAAAAAATTTCTCAGCCAAAATTGACTTTAAGTGAAATGCATAGATCTTCATCGTACTATTGGATGAGTTTTGACAAATGCAACCTAAACCTTTATTGAAATTACCGTCACCCTGGAAAGATCCCTTACCCTTTGCCAATTTAAAAAATTTAGTCGTTAGTGACTTGGGCCTGTAAAAATCTGCTTTGAATGCTAAGCTTTTGTCTGTTTTTCTTTTCCTCACAACAAGTGACGTTTCTTCATTCTAATGCTTGTTTTCTCTCTCTACACCCAACTTTTTTGGAAACGTTTCATACCTACATAAAAGTTCCAGGAATAGTTTAGTGGATGTATGTAAAACATCCAGATTCTCAGGTTATTAGCTCTCTGCCACATTAGCTTTACCTTTGTCCTCTCCCTGTCTCAAGCACATCATATACTTTCTTTTTATATTTTACACACATACACAAATACATAGGGTGTGGCACATACAGGTGTGATAACACACTGTATTTACATAAACTTAGTTTTGTGGCTGAATTACTGAAAGTATGTTGTAGATGTCATGACAGGTCACCTTGGATCCCCTAAGAACAAGAACATTCTTAAAATGACAGTGTTATTATCATAGCCAAATACTTTATTATTAATACGGAACTCTATTTGTAGCCGGATTGGTTGTTTTGTATTTGTTTTGATCTAGGGTCCAATCCAGGATCATATGTTATTTTTTCTTGTCCTTTCTTTTTCTTTTTTTCTTTTTTTTTGAGACAGGGTCTTGCTCTGCTGCCCAGGCTAGAGTGCAGTGGCATCATCATAGCTCACTGCAACCTCAAATTCCTGGGCACAAGTGATCCTCCTGCCTCAGCCTCCCAAGTAGCTGGGACTATAGGCATACACTGCTACCGCCCGGCTAATTTTTTAATTTTTTGTGGAGACAAGGCCTAGGCTGGTGTTGAACTCCTGGCTTCAGCGATCCTCCTGCCTCAGCTTCCCAAAGTGCTAGGATTAAGGCACGAGCTACTATACCTGGCCCACGTTATTACATTTAGTTGTCATGTCTTTTTAGTCTCCTTCAAACTTAAATGGTACCCTCCTTTTTTGTTTTTTAAAAGACCCAGCTGGTTATTTTGTAGGTTGTCCCTCGGCGTTCAGTTGATATTCTCATAATTAAATTCAGGTTATCCATCTTTGGCAGGAAATTACCTAAGTGAAATCATGCTTTTCTTGGGGCATCATATCAGGAGGCACATGAGGTTGGTGGTGGTTAGACTTTGGTTCATGCAATCAAAGCGCTGTCAGCTGGGGTCCTCTACCTTTTCCCCTTTGTAATTAGCAAGCTGCCCTTGGAGTAGTATTTGTAATTCCTTGGTTTTTTAAAATTTTCTTTTAATCTTATGTTCATGGTATAGTATTCATTTTGATATAGTATGATGCTTCATATATTTTTATGTTTTGTGCTTCTTTGTATCGTTTAAAAAACTCTTCTCCACCCTAACTCAGTGATATTTTGTAGTTCTATATTTTATTGTAGTCATTCTAAATTTTTTTTCCCCCTCTTACATACTGTATAGGTCTTTTGTCCATCTGGAATTTATAAGCATCTGTGTGTGAGAGTGTGTATAAATAAGGATTTGTAATTATTTTCCCATCTGAAACGACAGTAAAAGAAATACCTACTCTTGCTGATGTGTGAGTCTACCTTTACCGCCTACCAAATTATCGTAGGCCTCCAAGTCTATTTGGGGCTCTCTTCCTTCTCATAGCTTCGTGGACTCCTTGGTTACTGAAACTTGAGGAGAAGCCTTGACTTTGGCAGAACAACTCCCGGTTCCTCTTCCTCCCTTCCTTTTGTTTTTTAAGGAGATGTCTTGGATATTTCAGGGGATGTCCTCGTCTATGTGAATTTTGTCATGTTCCAGTGAAATTCCTCCAGAATTTGCATCACGAAGGCATTGCTTCCACAGGTTAGTCTGCGACGGTGTGAGTTGTCATGGTTTCAGTATTGGGCCCTCTCATCTGTCTACTTAGTCCACCTCCCCATGTACCCAAGTGTCCTTTGAGGTCTTCAATAAACTTTTTCAAGTTCTTGCCACAAAGATACTGTATAATTTTTGTTAGCTTTTGTTTTCTATTTTGTATGGGATTTAAAATTTAAAATTTGTATGGGATTTAAATGTTTTTAATTGGTTATTTTAGGAAAGTATTGATTTTGGGTGTTGATAATTATTCAGCGGATGATTATTGAACACTTACTATGTGCCAGTTTTTGTGCTGGGCACCTAGACTACATACATAATAAGTAAGTAGACCCAAACTCCTTTCCTGATAGCGCTTATGATCTAGGGCGTCTTTTAACCTTGTGAACTCAACACATTTAAAAAAATAATTATCCGTTTAATGTGAAGTAAAAAAAAAAATAACTAGGTGTTGTGGCCACTTGGGAGAGACAGGATGGACCCCTGCCCAAAATATGGTTCTGATATTGAGACTGATAATGCCTGCCCCCCGACACCCTAACAGGGTAAATGTTTATTTGTGATAAGGTTTTCTTTAGAGAGCAAGGCAAGCTTCCCAGGCTAGTCCAAAAATAGCGTGAGAGAGCAGGACAAGGAGACTGGCCTTTTATTGTGATTAGAGAGTGGGGCTGGGATGAGGGTGGCCTTCCATTTGTTGGGGCTTGTGTGGTTTGAACTTCCCACCAGAACCAAGGAGGAAACACTCAGACACTCTTGTAAATTTGCCCAGATGTTGGGGGGAGGGAGAGAAAGGGGGATAAGGAGTAGTCTTGAAAGCTGTCAACAGTCATCAAAAATAGAGTACTGGGTGGGTTGGCTCATGCATGTAATCCAAGCACTCTGGGAGGCCGAGGTGGGAGGATTGCTTGAGCTCAGGAGTTCGAGACCAGCCTGAGCGAGAGTGAGACCCCGTCTCTACTAAAATAGAAAAATTAGCCTCGTGGCAGGTGCCTGTAGTCCTAGCTACTTGGGAGGCTGAGGCAAGAGGATTGCTTGAGCCCGGGAGTTTGAGGTTGCAGTGAGCTAAGATGATACCACTGCATTCTACCTGGGGCAACAGAGCAAGGCTCTATCTCAAAAAAAAAAAAAAAAAAAAGCTAAGATGATACCACTGCATTCTACCTGGGGCAACAGAGCAAGGCTCTATCTCAAAAAAAAAAAAAAAAAGAAGGAGTGAGACTCTTTATTATACTTGGTGATCAGATAGCTGACTTTATTAGGACAGGGTTAAAATTGGTGGCAGATGAATTCTTTCCGTTAATGAGTTTTGAACAAGTGAAGTAAATGTTATCCTAGGTGGTACAGAGAGATTGTGGGAGCCATGTGGATGGCCATGAATGGCTGAGGTCTGGCAACTATTGATTTCAAGTATCATCCAGACGCCAGGCCTTGAGTGTGTCCTTCTGCCCTTGAGAGGTGAGTGCCTGGAAATGGAATTCTATACAAGCTCAGCTCTTCCATATAAAAACTGTTATTTCTCCCATTTATGGTCTTAAAGTACCAGAAATATGCCATATGGGGTCTAGACCAGTGGTTCTGACCTTGACAGACTGAACACACATTTATTTTTTTAAACAGTTTTACTGAGATATAATTCATATGCCATACAATTCACTCTTTTAAGGTATACAATTGAGCGGTTTTTATTATATTCACTAGCTTACATATCCATCACCATAATCAATTTTATAATATTTTCATCAGCCCCCAAAAAGAAAACTCATACCCATTATCAGTCACTCCCCATTACCCTCATCCCTCTCAGCCCTAGGCAATCACTAATCTACTTTCTGTCTCGTGCATTTGCCTATTCTGGACATTTCATTTAAATAGCCATACAACACATGGTCCTTTGTGCCTGGCTTCTTTAACTTAAGCAGAATGTTTTCAAGGTTCATCCACGTAATAGCATGTATCTATACTTCGTTTGTTTTTATGAATGAATTATATTCCATTCTATGTATTTACCACATTTTGTTTACACATTCATGAGTCAATGGACATTTGAGTTGGTTCCACTTTTTGGATATTATGAACAATGCTATTGTGAACATTTATATGCAAGTATTTTTTTTCTTATGAACATAAGTTTTAATTTCTCTTGGGCTAGCCACCTAGGAGTAGAACTCATTCTAGACATCCTAGTGGCTATGAAGTGGCATCTCACTATGGTTTAGATTTGCATTTCTCTGGTGGTTAATGATATTGAGCACCTTTTCATTTGTTTTTTACCTATACGTATATCTTTGGAGAACTGTCTGTTCAGATCTTTTGTCCATTTATTATTAACTGGGCTATTGATCTTTTTGTTATTGAAGTGTACGATTTTTTTCTGGATACCAGTCCCTTATCAGCTTTGTGATTTTTTTAAATATATTTTTTTAATTTCAAAATATTAAGGGGCAGATATGTATTTACAAATATTTTCTCCCATTCTGTGGGTTGTCTTTTACTTTCTTAGTGACATTCTTTGGAGCACAAAAGTTTTTTATCTTGATGTAGTCCAGTTTGTCTCCTTTTAATTAATTAGTTAATTAATTTATTGATTACTTGTGCTTTTGAGGTTGTATCCAAGTTTCCAAAGATTTAACACCTGTTTTTAT